ATGTGACGATTTCAAGTGTAATAATGCTTACCTATGAAATAAAGATTATTTTAATTTTTGGCCTAAAACGTTGGTTTTATTAACCGACTTCAAAAAAAAGAGGAGGTTCTCAATTCGACTGTGTGTTCTTTTTTTTGTATGTTAGTTACGCGATAACTCCGGTATTTGCGAACCGATTTTCATGATTCTTTTTTTGTTGGAAAGGGGGTATTTCCATAGTGGTCCCGTTTCATTTTCAAGAAAATCATCCACCTCTAATACTGGCTGTTCACGCATGAAGATTCATTTTTATAAATAGCGCCTAACTTTAATTTAGGACAATTATTTTAATGGTTGATTATGCTATTCGCCAATTCAAGGCGTTTTTCTCTCAATATACTTTGAGTAGTGAGAACTGATTTTTATTATCTCCAGTGTCAAGACCTGTATAGTGGCAAACTAGGGGATATTTCAATAAAACTTAGCAAATACACGTAATTTCACGTACTTATGAGGTCGGTTTGTTTAGTACTCTGTACTGAGATTATTTGAAAAAACAAATATATTTGAATTAGATTCGAATTGACTAACATTTGGAATTGAATAATTTGAAGGAGTAATTCGAGGACTCAATTCGAGGTTTTTAACTAGAAATAGAGTAGTGAAAGTGAAAGGTGAATATGTTTAACTTTTTCTTAAGTTTAATGAATATCACAATGTTTGACCACCATAATATTCAATTATTTTTATGAAATCACTCCACTAGTTTGTAATAATTACGAAACTAGTGGACTAATTTACGCTACGGCAAAAAAAGTCGTTAAAAACCGAGTACGAAGGTCTGCAACAAGCACATAGAAAAATTCGTAAGGTCCGCTAGTTCGTTCTGTGCCTTAGTTGGCATAGCGTGTGGCGCGGTTTGCTGGAAGACGTTGGTTTGAATCCAACCGTTTTTCTAAGTTTTTCTTTGTTCGATTTTTGTATTAATAATTATGTTCAACTTTACTGAGAAACAATCGAAATGACATCAAACAAATAAAAGAATTACCAATGCGTACCAAAATCCAAGAACAGTACCGTGTTTTGTTTTCGGTGTTCTGGATACACAATTAAAATTAAAACATACCCACCAGAATCAATATAACTAAAATAACTAATTTTTAAGTTGATTCAAACAAGTGACCTTTTAAAATGTGCTTATAGACTCAGGAAGCTGAAGGGAGTTGAAGGAGCCTTTTTCCATGCCTTGTGCGATATACCGCACGCTGAAATAAATAGCGTCACTAAACGAAAATCTTGCTTTTTCAAATGTAAACCGCATTTTAAACAATGCTTTGGCCATTTATTTCCCAAAAGTTGAATTTTTCGTTTAGTGACGGAATCGACTTCAGTGTTCCCTCAATTGGATGACTATAATTTAGACGAAAGAATTTATAGGAAAAGAGATAGTGTCTAAGATAAGGAAAAAACACAACATGGCGTCGGATACACCACTGCTTTTTCAGGTTTCGCGAGTAACGAGTGGCAATTGTATGGGTTGACAAAGAGTATAATAGTATCACATTCTCAGTTCCCCCCTTGCAGTTATGGTGGGAGTGGAACAATACATCAGGTCAACGAACGCCCATCACCCAGTGCTATCAATAGTCATGTAACTGGCTCTTATTCCCTACGTACGTAGCCTGTGGTGTGAGTGACACGATTTCATCAGATTATCTGTAGCGTCTGCAACTTGCATGGTTTTAAACATGGTTGGTTATTTAGTAGCAGTAGAGCATTTTGTGAAAGAGTTCGTCTGTGGGATCATGTTTCTGCCGAAAAGCAGTAATGCGGACATTACTACGTTCCGCTTTTGAACGTACCGGTGAAAATACAGGCACATGGGATTTATTAAGTTATGTCTCAGGGTGACAGGCCCAGGGTGGCAGTGTCCTCAGGTCTTTGACATTTAAAGCTCTAGACACCAGGTGCACGACTTGTTCACCCCGTCCCTTGGTTTCATAAAATAAATGGAATTTCTTGTATTGTAAAGACGAGATCATCGACATTATTAAATCCATAAGCAATATCTGGAATAGCCAAGTCAGAAACAATTTAGAAAAGTTAGTTCCTTTATTGCTTGTAACTTCTGAAGCGCCGACGCCATCTAAAGTAATTGTTATAACTCTGAGACGTTTTACACTCGACATCCGCTAGAATCTCTTGCCATAACCCTTAGCACTTCACCGTCGTCCGGTCGTCACTCAGTGGAAATGTCCCATTACGTCGTAGCCATACGCATTGCAGTAGTGATTCTTTCACAAGTACCACTGATTATGACCGGAATTGCCTTTTGAGAAGATCCCTACAGAGATGTTTTTAGTGACAAGTGCGTCCAAGGTAGAGTCCCAATTTTGCGCCCGAAAAAACCGAGAAACAGTCACCTATTTTCCCATAACACAAGTACCATTGATTATGATCGGAACTGCCGTTTGAGAAAATCCTTGTAGAGACGTTTTTAGTGATAAGTGCGTTCAAGTTAATGGTCACAATTTTGCGTCCAAAAAAATTGAGAAGCAATCATTGACTTACAAATAAATGGACGACGGGTCTAATACAAAAACCACGAAAAAAATGTCCCAAGTCAACCTATTCGAAATTTAAATTGTTATGTCATCGCAGTATCGCGCTGTCCGTAGAACAAATGAAGACTAAAGCGGAGTGTCGCGCTCTGTATACGATTTTAGCGCCTTACAAGTGCGGACACTTTTTAGCGCGGACCCGATGTCCATATAATTGTAAGTCAATGGAAGCAATCAACTTTTTTCCCAAAACACTACAATATGAAACTTTGTCTTATTGATGACTTCCATGATGCTTCCAAGGCTTAGATTTGTCTTTGTCGTATGCGAGATGGCGGCAATAGCTCCTTGGTAATGTTTCTGAATCTTTTCAATATACTTTGATTATGACACTTAACGAAAAAGGTCACAGGTGTAATTCCAATAACTTACTAATATAGTGGCCAAGTCATTTCCGCAATAAATGTATTATTATTAATAGAGGAAGCAGAAAAGATATGTCAGGATTATAGTTAGTACAAGTCTATGTAGTTCAATTGGAGATAGGTGCGATGCTATTATGTCACTATTATAATGCGTATAGCGCCCCTTTAGAATTTGCGCCCTTTGTTACGTCACTGGTTATTATTGCCGTTGGTTCTTGAAGTTTATAACTCGAAGGTACCAACGTGTTAGGCACTTCGATATATCACATTTATGATTCTGTAGCAATAAATGATACTTTTCAAATAGAAGCGTCTCATGCAGAGTGCTAAGAATAAAATAAGACTCAATCGAATTACAATAAGGGACAAAGGTTACGGGTTATTTTAATCCTCAAATATATAATTGATCTATTGTAAATGTGCACTTTTTTAAATAAACGATGTTTTTGTTATATATTGTTTATGTACTCGTATATATATACATATATATTAATTGTTCCGTCTATATTTGTTGATCTACGAATAAATTATAAATTAACTGCTATTTACTACTAACTAATCATACTAAATTAATACTAGGTAATCAAAAATAATACTTGATTCTCTTTTTTTAATATTGGTCTTTTATTTTCACGATTGACGACATTTATAACCAGTATATCTTTTGATGTTGATCTCCTAATAAAGCTTGATTGCGCCCTCTATTCAGTAGGTTAGGTTAGGTTAGTTTAGTATATGAAAGGTCGCGGCAGCGGCTGGCGCGTGTCAGAAGGCAGTTTGATTGCGTTTTCGAACATGTTTTCAGGTCAAATTATATTAATTAAAAGTAAGTATCTAAATTTTATTTTTAATGCTCATTTGTCTTAGTTTTGAGGGCCAACATAAAACTATGAAAGTTAATTTAAAGAAATCAAACATTTTTTGCGTTAGCCCAGAACAGATTAAAATATCGATGCATTTAATTTGTTTTATGTCTTAGAGAAAAAGGTTCTATCATTAAAAAAGATGACCGTTTAGATTTTTTGCCTGCTGCTTTTGTAAATTTAAAAGGATAATTTAAATATATGCCAAAGGTTACTGACTTACTTGTAGAAGTAAAAGAGAGTATTTTCTACAATTTTTTTTTAAAATTTTTACTGTTTTCGTGGCCAGATAGTGTTATTTTCAATTGTAATCTCGTAGCTTTGGTATAATAAAGCCACATGTGATCATATGTCAAAAGTGCTTTTATCATACGAAAGTCATAATAGTTCGTTGTATATTAAGGGCGATAAATAAGAAATTAATTAAACAATAGTTTGTTAGAACGGCTGTTTGTTACGGCTTTAATTACTCGAGGTTGTAATATTTATCGCCCGTGTTACATACAATGTTTTTCAGACAGATACAACACAATATTTATGGTTTTTTTTTTTTGAAACAGATTGCCAGATTTATTCCATAGATACTCGAAATAAAATTTTATAAAAGGCACAGATGCATGCAGCCACGATGTGATTTCCAAATTTTAAATATACTGCAGAATATGAATTCACACAATAAATTTAGTAAACTATAGTCAAATTGGAAATGTTTTTTTTTCTATACTTGAAAATTATGCGGAACATAATCAGATTTTTTTGAACATAAAAATAAAAAAGTGCAGTATAAGTAAAACTAAAAATCTATTACAGCCCTAGGACGGTAACGTAATACGAGCTACATGAAACAAATTATGTAAACGTAAAATTTTATAACTCGCCTATTGGAGCATAATAAAGTTATCGACTAATGTTCGTGGAATGTTTAAAATTTCTCTCCTGAAAAGTTGTCATTTTACAGATGTAGCTTTATTATGACAAGGGTGCGATATGGGCAACGTAATTGTTGTAATTGGAATATATATAACGGTAGTCAATTAGACGTGCCGTGGATTAATCCATAGCGGTACTTTAGTACAATATTTTAGTATACGGAAATTTAGGTTATTATTAAGTAACTTAGCGGCGGAAATAGGTAAGTGAAAGGAATCACAATTTTCTTTTCTTGTCCTCAGGATGTGGTTACCGGGTGCAGTGGCGGCGATGCTCTTGGTATCGTACTTATCAAGCGCAGAATGGCTCTGTCCTGAACTGAGCTCCAGACCAGCAGCGGAATGTTCTTGCGACCTACCACACACGCTAAGATGTGCTGGAGATCATACTGCTATACAGGTAATGTTTCCTATGAATAATAATACACTCACTGGTACATTTAGCCGAACATTAGCAAAATCCTGAAAATAATGTTTAATTTTTTTGTTTTAGGTCTAATTTCAATTTTTTTTCATTCATTTTGTTTTGAATTCAATAGTTCGAATTTTAATAATGTTGAGAGGTCCTAGGTTGATTTTACGTTACCGTTTATTTTAACAAAAAAAAATAAATTAAAAGCTTTCTTTAATCAATGTTGTACTGTTATAATTTTTAGACATCTAAAACATGCATTTTATTTAATAACGATTTTTTTAGGCTGCACTACGTGTTGACGCTTAAAGATGTTAATTTAATTGCTACTTTATGTCTAATTCTTATTTATTTAAATATAACTATATTACTTTTTTTGTTTCGCAAAGTGTGCTGGTGTGTGTTTGCTTTTTTGGTCGGCATGACGAAAGAGGTTATTGGCTTTGATCGCAGGATATGTACTTCAAAATTTCAGCATTTCTTCATCCATTTGTCAGTTTAATTCGTTTGGTTTTGTTGTACAGAGAACCGGATGAAGTCCGTGCAAACGGGCTGATCCGGGGTTAGGAAACTTATTATTATTATTATTTATTATTTAATTTTAAGAAGACCAACGGCTATCTTACATAACATAAACTTAAATAAAAACGGAGAGCCAATTATAGGTCCTCAACGGTAGACACACATTAAGTTAATTAAATAGCTATAAATTATAACTATATAACTAATAATTATACTATATAGGTAATGACATAATCGCACACACAACAATTAGCTACTCGCCAAAAAGCAAACCACTAATAAGACGCTTCAGCGATGCAACACTAATGTTAAAAAGGTCAATATCAACCTGCTTGGACAATGCATTGAAACTATTACTCGCACGCATGAGATATGCATTCCGCCGAAAGTTTGAAGAGGCCAGAGGTACGCACAGGGGTGAATTAAACCTAAGGGTCTTTGCAGGGGCTCCAAGAGAAATCTTGGATACGACTTCCGGGGAGTCAACGGCACCAGAAGCAATTTTTTTCAAAAACACTAGATCAAGATCACTATGTAGAAAGATATGGGATTGTCCAAGTTTGGACGGTAATCTTTGGATTCGTCATGAGTCAAGTGACCAGAGTCCTTAATATTACTTACACTGTATTGTCATTATGTCACTTCGCGTCATTTTGCTAGAAGAAAGCTCAGCCTGCCTCAGGCTGTAAAATTAAATAATAATAATAACATAGGTATTAATAACTCTTATTCAATTTTTAAGTTTATTGAATGTCATGATGTTTTTATACTATGATAGTCAATTACTTTTTCGTGAAGTTACTAAACTAGTTTGTTATAAATATTAATAAAAGATTCGAATCAGCACCTTCAGGCAATCCGTGTCAGGTGTTCTGCCAATTAAGCCACGGAACGAACCAGCAGAACTTACGAATTTTTTTATAATTCTTGTTGCAGATCTTTGTTTTTAGTTTTTAACGACTTTTTTGCTGTAGCGCCATCTTTGAGAATTTTAGTTCTTCACTGAGACAAGTACCGGAGAGACTACGGGCTTGACGGCAAGACCAGGGTACAGCGGGCATCCGGGCCAAGCCCGCCGCCGGTGATACGCCTTCACGGCGGAGAGTGGTGAGGCTTGTAGTTAGATGCTCCTCCCTCGCAGAGCGAAGTGCCCAGTCCAGATAGGCAGAACGTTAAAGTGAAGAGCAGGCTTAGGCGGAGAACCGAGGAACTTATTGCAGGCAAACGCGTAAGCACGGCAGGAATCACTCCAGGCGTAAGAAAGATGAGGCTTCGTATATTTCGTTACGAACGCCAGATAACTCGAAGGTTAGTATAGGAATCACCAGCGAATGGTAGGACGAGAAAAAGCATCGAAATTCGAATGGCCAATTTTAAATTTGAAATGAAATGAAGAGCCAAAATGAGAGCGGCCAGGAGCGGAAGGGCTTCTACTGCTAAGATTGCATATCAAAGGAAGAGTAATTTATAGGATAATCTATGGAAGATCTATGGAATAATAGATAGTATAGGAGTAACAGATGTGTTAATCATACAACTTAAAAAAAATATTAAATTCGAAATAAATATGTTTATAAAGTGAAATTGATGAAATATTACGTAATTAGTATTGGAAAGACGAATAGTAAAGTTCGGAGCTACCATCAGTACAATAGAATATAGCCGAGGTCTGGAGATCAGGCATATAGACAAAAGTGAGTAAATTGTGAAAGTGCGAGAAATAGCTTATAATAGTAAATATTAGTTGGAACACTTTCAGGAATCAGCAAAAGTAAGGGCGTTTCATAGAAAACGTGTAATGAGAGAGATGAAGATGATAGGGGTCCGTAGTTCCACACTAGAAGAGGTCTGTGACAACCCTGTACACTGGCTGATCTGGGGTCAGAACCTGGACTATGTAGTGCCCTACTCGTTTACCCTACCAGTCGGTAGGGAGAGTCGCTATAATCAAAACTAATGCAGTAAGATATGGGGCTGCTCAGTAAGAAACTTTATTAGTTGCTCTTTGTAAATAAACATAAATGTTTATCATGGACAATATTTATTTCAGATATCATTGATCGAAACTACCAGCAAGAGCTAAACAGGCCATTACCACAAATGTTTACCTTTGAAAAAAAAAAATACGCTATTTATATTCCAAACATCGTTTCATTTCTAATCAGAGTACATAGTTAAATGGAGAGTTATTTTCAATATCAATTGATGCAAAAAGACAGAAAAAAGGAAACAATTCCACAAACCAATAACGCGTCCGATGGTAAAACAAACATCAAAGCCCATCAGCAGCAAACACGCATTCATATAACATTTTTCCTTGATCCGAGATTGTTGACGACTAATACAGGCTGTTTCTATCACCGCTCTAACTTTCTGTCGAAAGGCAAGAATTTCTTTTTATACAGATTTTTGTTTCTAAAGTTGTTCAATATCATGGATTCGGGAACACACTGCTTTTACTAGCAATAATATAATAGAAAGATAATAAATAAATAATGAAATTTGTTCTACACAAATAACACGAAGGACTAAACAAAGGTCTTATGGCGGTTTTCTTGAGTGAATTGATTACATAGATTAAAAGAAGTAAGTAGTATAGGAAATGAAACTATTTTTCCGGATTTAAATCACGTATATTTGTCACGGTTGTCAACCGTGACCATGGGACCTGTAAAGGGTCCGAAATGTCGGTTTGTTTGAAAAAACAAATATACGCGATTTAAATCCGGAAAAATAGTTTCATTTCCTATGTGTAACAATCGCGAAAACCTAAGAACTTTGTAAGTAGTTTGTTAAATGTCAATTACGTGAGCCGGGAGATAGAAAAATAAGTGTAGAGGTCAAATATCTTCATCTTCTCACGGAAACTGACGATAAGGTCGACGATGGAGCATGCACACTTAAATAATGCCTATTCACTCTCGCCTTGAAAGGATCAAGTTATAACTATCAAGGAATAAGTTTGCAGACAGGGAATTTAGCGTAATCGTGGGATCTGTGCAGAGTTCGTCTAGGGAAGTACTGCCACCTTACCTATTTCTTATTATTTTGCTCCTCTTTTGAAGGCTGCTGGTAAAATTACAGGCACATGAGACTTTTCAATTTGTCTCAGGGTAACGTGCGCAGTGCCAGAGTCCCTCAGGTCTTTGCGATTTAAAGCTCTGACTGGCTCCGCAACTATTATGGATAGGTGTATCGCTTGCCATCAGGTGCACCACTTATTCGTCCCGTCACTTGGTAAGATACAAAAAGGTCAAACCATTAGCCTACTACGGCTTTCTTTGAAACATAATTAAAATAGAGAAATCAAGATGTGGTGGTATATCGTCCATGTTTTTTAAATAACCCCGGGCGGCAGTCAATGATAACAGAATGTCAGTCTAAGTGGTCAGCCTGGATATGCTATACTTTCAACAGAGTGATCGTTAGTGTCAAATTTCACACATTCTTTACCGAATTATGGGGTGTTAGTTCTCACAACAAGGTTATAATTGAAAGGTGCTAATATATGTATTCTTTCGAATTGTTTTTTCTTTTCCAACAGTTTGTTAACAATTCGTATAATGAATAATAAGTAATGCAGTATCATAAAAAAATAAAGGTTTCGAGGCGTGTTCTTGAGGGGAAAAGATTATTTAACTATAAACTTCATTTCACAAAAGAAGTAAGTACCTCGTGCATCAACTACGTGAACAACATTTCGATAATTTAAAAAATGTAGTTCTTTTTATAAAAAAATAAGTGCGCATTTGACCTCCGTTTCACCTGACGGAAAGTGGTGATAAGGTAGACGATGGAGCATACATAGTCAAATAATGCCTATTCACTCTCGCCTTGAAAAGGCCCAAGGAGTAAGCCTGCGGGCCGCGAATTTAACGTGACCAAAGGATTTGTAATGAGTCCGAAGTATTTTTAATAGCAGTAGAGCTCCTTGTGAAAGGGTTCGTTCGGGGAAGTATTGCCAGCGTACCATTTCTGCCGCTAAGCTGTAATGTGAGCATTATTGCGTTCTGATTTTGAAGGATAAGGGTGCTGGTGAAATTACATGGAACTTGTCAATTTATGTTTCAAAGTGACAGGTCCAGTGGCAGTGTCCCTCAGATCTTTGATCCTCCTCGATTTGAACCTCTGAGTGACATTACAAATGCTATGGACAGGCATGTCGCTTAACACCAGACACATGACTTGTTCGTCCCGTCACTAGATAATATAAAAAAAAATATATTAAAAAAGCATTGATTTTGTTTGATTTATATGTGCATTGACTTACAAATAAATGGACGACGGGTCTAATACAAAAACCACGGAAAAAATGTCCCAAGTCAACCTATTCGAAATTTAAATTGTAATGTCATCGCAGTGTCGCGCTGTCAGTCGAACAAATGAAGACTAAAGCGGAGTTTGGCGCTCTGTATACGATTTTAGCGCCTTACAAGTGCGGACACTTTTTAGCGCGGACCCGACGT